CTTGAAAAATTCGGCTATGTGCAAACACAATCAGATCACACACTTTTATTAAAAAAATGGATTCCGCCTGAACTCTACTTGTTGTATATGTGGATGATATTGTAGTGACAGGGAATGATACATGTGAGATTAACTCTCTTAAGCAACTACTTCATCAAGAATTTGAGGACAAAGACTTGGGAGAACTACGTTATTTTCTGGGCATTGAGGTAGCATGGTCTAAACATGGGATTTTTGTTTCCCAAAGGAAGTATGTTCTTGATCTTTTGGAAGAAACTGGGAAGCTAGGTGTTAAACCTGCTAACACACCTATTGAACAAAATCTTAAGATCAGTGCAGAAGGTGGAGAGCCACTTGAAGATAAAGTTATGTTTCAATGGTTGGTTGGGAAACTACTCTATCTTTGCCTAACATGACCAGACATTTCTTATGCAGTTAGTGTTAGCCAGTATATGCATTCTCCTAGAACCGCTCACCTACTTGCAGTTGAGAGGATACTGGCTTATTTGAAGAGATGCCCAGGCAGAGGTATACTCTTCAAGGATAATGGTCACATGAAAATAAAAGTTTACACAAATGCGGATTGGACTAATTGTGTTGATGATAGGAGATCTACCTCTGGGTATTGTGCTTTTGTAGGAGGAAATCTTGTCTCTTGGAGAAGTAGGAAACAAAATGTTGTTGTTTGCTTAAGTGCTGAAGCTGAATATAGATCTATGGCAAATGGTGTGGCTGAAGTCTTATGGTTGAGATCCCTATTTGAGGAGATAGGTATTGCTTATGAGAAACCCCTAATGTTGTATTGTGATAATCAGGCAACTATTAACATTGCCCATAATCCAGTACAACATGATAGAACTAAGCAAATTCAAGTAGATCGACACTTTATCAGAGAAAGAGTTGCTTCCCAAGAAGTATGTCTTCCAGATATCGCCTCTAATATGCAGCTTGCAGATCTCTTCACTAAGGCAGTTACAAAGACCAATTGGAGACTGATTTGTGCAAGTTGGGAATGACTAATATCTACTCCCACTTGAGGGGGAGTGTAGAGATGTAGTGGTCCCCTTTGTGGAATGCCTATTTATATTGCTGTTAGTATGTTAGCTGGATTAGTTGGTAGTTATTTTCTGTTATTTATAGCTTATGTAAGCAGTAGGGGTAATACTGGTTTTTTACCTTTTTTTAAATCATGAATATAAATAGTTGAGTGGGGCGACAATCTCAGTTATGACCCACACTCTTCTCTGAATCTTTTCTCCTCTTCGTGTTCTCTCTTCTTCCCTTCTTTTACTCTCTGCATTATTTCTAGTTTAATTCAGATCTAAACTAAGACTTATTGCAATCTCACTAGACAACTATTTGCATCATCCTCCCTCACAGGCAATGGATATTTCTCTTCTACTTCTCTGAATTTTTTCTAACATAAACCTCTCTCCCCACACAATGAATATCCAAAGCTTTGCTCACTTCAACTTCTATATTTACAATCTTTTCCAAATCAACTTTTTTCCAATAACATAGGTTTCATCCATTGCAATCCCTTTGTCTTCTGAATCATTTGCTCTCCTTCCTCCCCCTCACTTCCTCCTCTTCCAAAACAATCTCATCACTTTTGCAATGGTCTTGTTCCCCAACTGTTTTTCCACATCCCTCTCCAATTCTTCCTCATCAGTAACAATAATCTCTGCTTTTTCTTCCCCTGTAGTGCCCCATGATTCCTTCTAACTTGTCTCTTGAAAGCTATCCTCATTCTTCTCTTAAAAGCTATTGAAAAGATCACCATATTAATTGGAACAAAAGCTATTGAAAGCTCACCATATTGTGAATTTATCAGAAATACTAATTGAAGAACCGTCCATAAAGCCATCCACCTTAGCTACTACTTCTGAAGCTGCAACTAAACCTACTTGTGTTTGCTCACCACAACCACTGAGAGTGTCTATGATTTGAAGACTGAAATTGAAGAACAACAGGAGACTATTTTGTTTTTGTGGTCAGAGAAGGAAAAAAGTGAAGGAATAGAAATATTTTCAAATGTGTTTTCCCTACCCAAAGATCCATCCAAAATTTCCTTGTGTCTCCAGAGTAGAAATCAATTCTAGTGTGGGGTCAAAACAAAGGTAAAATAGTGATAACCGATTTCCATAGAGAGTCTCACGTACACCTAACTACAAGTCAGGCATCCCAATCATCTGAGATTCCATGAATGCGTTTTATTACTGCATACCAAGGTTTGTCTGTACCCAGGGTAGAAAGTATGCAAAGAATTCTAATTAGTCAGTGATGCTAACTTAAGGAAAGAAATGCCACCCCCCCCACAACCCATCAGGAGTAAACTTTGGGGTTTGAAGAAAAAAGAAAAAGAAAAATTCTTGAATCTGAACACTCTGTATAAATAGTGCAGCTGGCTAACATATATATGCATCTTTTTGGCCCATATTGCGTCCCTTTGTATGGATAACTGTAAACAACTGCAAATTCTCGATTGTAATTACACTAATACTTTGTTAAACAAATGCATCAAAGTTGACCTTCGCCTGAAAGTTGGTCCCGTCTGTCTGGGATCTTGGGAGAGGTGGATTGAATATAAGCCAAATTTTACCACTCTCAGACTCGAGCCCACATTTTCATGCTTGCCTGCCTGAAATTTTACCATGCACAAAACAAGGATGGCTAATTGCCAGCCTAGGGCACTTATGCCCAACAAAACTCAGTTAAATCACTAGCCAATTGCCTAATCAATTGAACAATAATCCCCAACTGCTGCCAAAAATCTAATTTTCAAAGAAACAGCAATGGCAGGAAGGTTCCTCCCCTCCATCATAACCAAAAAAGGCTCTCAAATACAAGAGAAGCACATATCCAATCAAATTCACCAACACCCATTGTACTATATTTTGTCTTGATAAGAACTTCTTTCACTGTCCTTCAAAAGAAATAAAAGGAGAAAATAAGGCCTTCCATAGTTGATTGTTAGACAGTTTTAATGCCCTTAACTTCAATCAAGAATGATGTACTTTATGAGTTTATTGTAAATGAATAAAAGTGCATATTTGATTCATGTTCCCTTGGTATGTTTCTGTGTAATACCCTTAAACTGGAC